AAGTCAAGTCACTACTTCAATAAGCATTTTTTTATCAGCTTCAATACAGACGAATGGGAGCTAAAAGCCCAAATACATTTAAGGATTGCCTTTGGGCCTATATCTCCTGTAAACTATGAAAATAATTTGTTTAAAATTCAGTCGATAAATTAAGTGATTGCAACAGAGCTGTAGTTCATTGACTTTCAGTGTAAAAGTATATACTTGATTTTCCTGGATGTCTTCATGGAGGATGTTAGAAAAATGCAGTTGTTTCTTCTTAATTAAAGCCCATTTCCATTTTTAAATCATCTGCATATGTTCGGCTAAACAGATCTTATTATATGAAAATATCCTAATATTTTAAGCAGCATGTTTTCCATTACAGCCAATAGTTTGTGTTGTTATAATCTACAAAATCCAAATCGCAAGTACTTAAGCCTTTTTTAACTGCAAGTGATAAAAATAACATTTATCTGAATATCCAGCTAAAACTATGATATGAGCATAATTGAATTTATTAGTATCCCCAACAGGCAACTGCTGTTTCAGTGAGGACAAAACAGAGCCTTATTAGAAAGATGAATGCATCATGTCTTTGCCAAAAACTCACTGAACAGTATACAAAATTACTGAATATTTATTAAAACCAAAAAAAAAATTTTAATACTAAATGCAGTTTTCATGTAATTTGGGGGGGAAAGTTTATTGGAGGTGAAGTAAAAAAAAAATCCATGTTACTTGACATGAAAATAATGGTATGAAGCAGTTTTTCAAAAGTGCTCAGAAATGGCCTATTTCTCCTCTACCTTCAAAGCTCATTGCAAAGCTACTACCTGTAATGTATACTGACTCAAAAACAATTATTCACTTTTTTTAGTCTAAAATTATATCTTGCCATCCTAAAAACCTTTCTCTAGTTATTTCTACCCTCAATACATTCACTTAATCTTTTTAATGATCTTTTTGGTGATGTGTGGCTAACCTTACAGGAAGTACCCAGGTTTCTTAGATAATTTTATCTACCTAAATATATGTTCAAATTAACAATCACATCCTTTCTTCTCAGTTGTGGAAGGGATGTCCTTAATTTGGACATAGGAATGGGAAGGAATTAAAATGACTAAGAAGCAAATACTGAGAGAGAGGCCTTCATTTGCCTTTGAATTTTACGATGTCCTAATGTTTGTCTGTCTGCCATGTCAATGCAAACCTGTAACAACAACAGCAACAACAACAATGGCATCCTTTAGTCTGAGAGAGACAGTGCATATTGCAGCTTATGGTATAAATAGTTTGCAGTGTCTCACGTGACTGAATAATTCAATCTGAGATTTACATGATCTGTGGCAGTGGTTGCAAGTATGTGTCACAGTTGGGTGGTTAAGAAGCTGCTTGCTTCCTACGGACTTTTTCTCTTCAAGCTCTTGGAGCCAATTCCTCTCATGGATTTTAATGCCCGGGTGGAGATGATGACGCTTGCCAAGGTTTCCCATTGGCCAGGATCAATTCCAAATGCCTTCATATCTCACTTGCATTTGTCTTTATAGCGAAGCGTGGGGTATCCTGTTGTTCTTATTCCCTCTAATAGTTCGCCATATAGCATGTTCTTGGGTATATGTCCATCTTACAAACCTGTAAGATGCTGATAAATAATTCAAAGGCAGGTGCCACATGTTTACAGTCCTGAGCCTCCTTTACCCTTCTTGTCAACGTCTCTCTTCCTCTATTCATGTAGGCTCTAATAGTCTCCATCATAGGATCATAGAATATTAGGGCTGGAAGAGACCTTCGAAGGTCAGCAAGTCCAACCCTCTGCTTGAAGCAGAACTGTCCTCAACTAGATCATCCCAGCCAAGACTTTGTCTAGCTGTACCTTAAAAACATCTAAGGATGAAGATTCCACAACCTGTATGGATAACCTATTCTAGTACGTTACTACCCTCCTCTTGAAGAAGTTTTTCCTAATATCTAAACTTCCCTTAGTGCAACTTGAGACCATTGCTCCTTGTTCTGTCATCTGCCACGAGTGAGAACAGTCCAGCTCCATCCCCTTTGGAACCACCCTTCAGGTAGTTGACAGCTGCTATTAAATCACCTGCTCAGTATTATCTTCTCCAGACTGGATAAGCCCAGTTCCATCAGGCTTTCCTCAGAAGTTATGTACCCCAACTCTCAAACACATTTTGATGCCCTGCTCTGGACTCTCTTTAATTTCTCCACACCCTTTCTGGAGAGAAGGGCCCAAATCTAGGCACAGTACTCCAGATTTGGCCTCACCAGTGCCGAATACAGGGGAATAATCACTTCTCTCATCTCCTGGCAACATTCCTACTAATGCTGCCCAGTATGCCACAAGCCTTCTTTGCAGCAAAGGCATGCTGTTGGCTTGTATTCAGCTTATTGTCCACTGTAACCTCCAGGACCTTTTCTGCAGAGCTGCGTCTTAGCCAGTCAGTCCCCAGTCTGTACTGGTGCTTGGGATTGTCCCATCCTAAGTGCAGGACTTTGCATTTGTCCTTATTGAGCCTAATGACTAAGTACAGACATTCAAAAAACCCATGCCTGAATTGATTCAATCTTTTCAGGTTAGTCTAACCTGCATAGATTGGACCAATTTGCAAGTGAATAGACATTCATTTTTGATTCCGGAAATGCACCCACATGCCTGCAGTGGCTCAGGCTAGAAGCTGGGGACACTAGAGTGAGCCCTCCCTTCCCTTCAGCAGCAGCCACAAGGCTGGAAGGAAGCTGACTTGTGGGTGGGGGGGCATGGCCATGGCCAGACACTGGCCAGGACAGCACTTCAGGTGAAGGTGGGGGGGAGAAAGAGGAATTAATTCCCCTGTCTCCCCTCTCTCCCACAGGCACAGGGACCCCACCAGGGGTCTGCCTGGCTTTCCCTGCTGCTGGCCACTCATGCAGCAGGTGGCATGGCCAGAGCCAGTCTAGGCAGCAGCCTGAAACTCTTCCCAGGGCAGCACTGCAAGTGGCCAGCAAGGTGGAAAGCCAGGTAGACCCCGCTTGGGGTCTCTGTGCCTGTGGGAGAGAGGGGATACGGGGGAGTTCAAACCTCCTCCCAACCCCTGATCCTGCTGGGCCACACCCCTCATCCCCTCTACTCCAGTGGGGAAAAGTCTGGCAGGGGCTGCTACATCCCAACCAGGCTGTGCCAGCCAGGTTTCCCACCCCCACCCCCTTGTCAACCAGCCACCACTGCTCCAGGTAGGGATGGGGAGGAGGCAACCCTGCTCTGCTCAAGCAGATAGCATAGTCCAGGGCTGCAAAGCATGCTGGGGGACTGTGATTTAACTTGAACCAGGAAAGGGTCTGGGACAGAAGTTCCATAAACTAGTTTGACCTAAATTAGGTAAGTCTGATACTACATTCAAAACCAGTTTCGACCATTTTGAAACCAGTTTATGTGCACTGAACTTCTGTTCTGTTACAGGTTTAAACCAGTTTCTAATCACTTAAACTGGTTTATCTGTAACGTCTGTCCCTAATTGTCCCAAAGCAGAACTTTGCACTTGTCCTTATTGAACCTCATGCAATTTCTTTTGATCCAGTCTTCCAATTTGTCAAGGTCTCTCTTAATCCTACCCTCCAGCATATCTACTATTCTTCCCAGACTGGTGTTATCTGCAAAGTTGCTGAGGGACAGATCATCACAAGATCTGTCCTTAAACCCACATGACCCTCCAAAAATACTGTTTCACTCCCTCTCCCCCTTTGTTGCCAAACATATTAATGTTCTACATAGAACTGTTGTGTCAGATGATTCCCAATCAACCTTACCAGCCTTACCCATGACCTGAGTTTTTAGACTTGCTCCAAGGCATTCCTTCCCTCAAATTTCCATCAGCCTTTTAAGACTACCATCTTCCCTGTCACTTAGAGCCACATTCTGTTTTGTTTTTTTTATACAGCTCTCTCTGTCAGACCTTGCCTTCCCACTACTACCTACACAATTTCATTAAGCTTCTACCTTTTCTGTAATGCCCAGGGTTTTTTTCAGATTGTCGTCGTTTCAGACTTCAACAACTGTAATTGCATTTTATCAGGCCTGGAAACCATCCACTTTGCCTTTCTCAAGTATGTTCAAAATATGGCTGTTAGGATTCTCTTCCTTGCTTGCTGCTGTCAACATATCATGTCTCTTTGCATCCCTCCACTAGCTCTCTCCCTCACTATGTAAGCACACATTAATTATCTGTAGACTCTTTTGACATTAGTTTTGCCATGTCTGGGTGTATCTACATGAGATGGTTAATGTGTAGTATACTGACTGACTGCACTTTACAACATCATGGCAAAAACAGTGCTATTACACTGTTGTGCAATAGTATTAGTCTACTGCACATTAACCATCATCAAAAAAGCATGCAGTTACTGCACGTTTATTTAGTACTTTCTTTTGCAAGTACTAAATTTTAATGATCAGTAGGCACTGCAGTAATGAATGTGTAGACACGCCCTCTGTCATCGTGCTAACATATTGTACCTTTGACTCACTCCTTAGCTCTACTAAACTTGCAGCCTTTGATGGCCCAGTTGTTTGTTTCTCCCATGGACAAACTGGCAAAGTTACAGTAACATTATTCCATTTGTCACTTTTTCTAAAACTGGAGAAATTAAAAAGTTAGAGAGTGAAAAAAGCAAATACTTAGCATAATTTTTATTAAAATAGAAGTAAACATAAATGGGGGATGTGGCTTCATTATTCATTCCAGTAGTACCAATTCAGCATTTATCTTACTGCACTTAGCAGGGAAAAATGCAGAGAAATTACACATTTTGAAAATTAAAAATATTTCAATAATTTTTTCACAAAAATTGCAAGAATGAAAAGGTTTCATCTGTGACTGTAAAGCAGAGACAGGTTTGCAATTTTCAGAGAATTTTGTGAAGTTGTTTTACCTTTTATGACAACTTCCAGAAACAATAGATACTCAACCTATTTAGACAAATTAACACATTCAAATGATCTGTAAATGGTTGTGTCTTTTCTTTTATTTTAGGTCCGAACATGGATTCTCACAGTAGGCTACACAACTGCATTTGGAGCAATGTTTGCAAAAACGTGGCGTGTTCATGCAATTTTCAAAAATGTAAAAATGAAGAAAAAGGTAAGGAAATAGCTATTTATCTTTTTGACATAATAAAATTGTCACCAGGAAGGGTTATTATACATCCTGGATATCCATATTTCCATCAAAGTTGTAATATCTACATTTTCTAAAGTAGGTCATATTGAAATATACAGAGAACATTAAAATTTGCATTTCTTTTTTTAATAGTATTTAAGAGAGCGTTGTATGCTTAGAGTTCATAGAATGAATCGGACAGAGTGGCATCTTAGATCTGGTACAGAAGTTTAATTCACTGGTCTAACCTAGATCAGTTAGATTTGAGTGCACATCAAACCAAGTCTATCTTAGACTGGGTTCCACCATTTTTAGACTGGTCTGTTCTGTTATAGGTATAGATCGAGTTCTGATCACTTAAACCAGTTTATGTGTAATCTCTGTACCTGACCTTAGAGGCTAACTCAGACTCTTCAAGGTGTCATCCACTTGGCCTTCTGTTGGACCAACATGGCTAACTACCTTTCTTTAGTAGTTCATTGAATGAAAAGACTGAAGAAACCCTGCTTTTCACTCTCACTTATATTCTGTGGTATACTAAGTCCCAGCATCAATAAACTCCACAAGGTATATCCTTAGCTGATATAAAATGGCAGAGACCCTGAGCAAAACTCCAACTGGAATATATAAGTACTGCAAACTAAACTTTCTCCTAGAGTGTAGGTAGGGCTAGGGGAACAACAAAACTATTCTTTTAGAATTCTGTTATTTTAATTTTGATTGAAAAATCCGGGACATTGATTAAAATCAGTTAAAACTGAGCCACTGTAATAATCTGAATCTAGTTTTTAAAAAGGCACTACCATACCCATCTTATTGACAAAATATTTCCAATATACACAACAGCAATCTAAAAAATAGTAGAGGCATAGCATGAGATACAGCAGTGCTAAATTATTCTTTTTCTAACATGACTTTTCTTCACATTCAATGTTTTAGATCAGATAGAAGGAAATTTCATTAAACTGAAGTAATTTTGTTGGAAAACTGTGAATTAAAATTTGCATGAAAATATAAGTCCAACAAAAAATATTGGTTACTATAGAGCTAAGATCAGACAGCTACCATACACAATTCCATAAATTCAACAGTAATATTATTCTAACAAAGAATAAAGGACCAAATAGAGCTGATGAAAGGGGAAGGTTATGCTGGAAGCTACTCATGTACATCTCTCTAAATTTCCTATGCATGCACACTTTAACAAGATTTTTAATGGTTAAAAAATCTTAATATTAGTTTATTATTTTTACTAGAGGATTGCAATGTGAAAAGCATGGGAAATAACAGGAAGAAACAAAGTCCTAGTACAATCACAGAAGTATGTAACTGGGATAACTGAGACTTAGTGGGATAGTTTGCATGACCTAAGTTTTGTCATAGATAGGTATAGCTTGTTCAGGAAGGACGTGCCAGAAAAAAATGTGGTGATACTGTTTTTATATATATATGATGCACACTTGTCCTGAGGTCTGGTGTAAAGTGGGAGGTAGACTGTTGAAAGGCCCTAGGTCAAGATAAAAAGCGAGAACAGAAAACTTGATGTTATGATTGGTATCCACTATAGTCCACCAAATGAGGAGGAAGAGCTGAATGCATTTTTTGTCAACCAACTAACCAAAGCATCCATATCACAGGATCTGGTTTTCATACAGGGTTTAAATTACCATGACATCTGTTGAGAGAGTAACTCAGCAGCACACAGACAGTCCAGCAAGTTTTGGGGGTGTTGAAGATACATTTTTGGTACAGATAATGGATATCTCAACTAGGGGAGATCGATGTCTCTGCTTGCTGCTTATAAATGGAGAAGAACAGGCTGAGAATGTGAAAATGTAAGATTCTTGTTGCATGGGACCCTCCGAGGTGTTTTATTTAGATTGTAGAAAGCATTATATATAACGTTGTGTTCTGAGCAGTTGCACAATAATGCTTACCACAATCTCCCAAGTTGGGTCTCTGCTACAGCAGACAGAGAGGGGCATGGAGATGCAAGTTTGGGAAAGGGTGCTACCCCTGCTGCTGGATTCTGCTAATACTCTAGGATTGGAGCTGGTTCAAGACTCCAATGTGGTCTCAGGCCTGGGACTGACAAGCAGATGATTATCAGTCCCCACCCCACACCAAACCAGAATTTTTAACCATTTCTCCTGTGGTGCTGGAGCTGGGGCTGATGATCTGCTGACTGTCTGCCCCAGCCCTGGCACTGGAGCCAATTCAAGACTCTGGTGCAACACAGGAGCTGGAACTGACAATCAGATGATTGGCAAGAATCAGCTGATCATCAGTCCCAGCGTGCACACTAGGACTGGTTCAGCACTCCAGCACAGTGCAGGGCTGTGACTGACAGCACTGGAACTAGTTTGAGACTCTGGTGCAGTCCTAGGGCTGGGACTGACAATCAGCTGATTGTTGGTCTCAGCCCCAGGACTATACTGGAGCTGGTTGGAAACTCTGCTGTGGTCCCAGGGCTGGTTCTAACAATTAGCTACTTTTGGTCTTAGCCCCAGGATCCACCAGAACCAGTTCCAGACTCCTGTGTGGTACTGGGGCTGGGACCCACAATCAGAGGATGTTGGGGCCCCAACCCTGGGACTACAATAATTGCATTATATCTGTGGAACAGTCCAACATTAACTCAACACAGATTACTTCATATAGTCTGCAGATACACCTTGATGAAACAAGCTAACTTTGCTATGATACAACGTACGGTATCCTGCTTGATTGCACAGACTCTTGAATTTTAAGCGCATTTAACACGTGCTAAGTGTCTTGTGCAACATGGCTCTAAGGCAAGTTGGGTGACAGTGACCAGGAAATGATAGAATTCAAGATCCTAAGGAAAGGAAGGAAAGAGAGGAGCAGGATAAAAGGCACTGGACTTCAGAAACCAAGGGGCAGGACTGATCCCATGAGAAGCAAGTCTGAGGGTAAAGAGGAGTCCAAGAGAGCTGGTTGTACCTTAAAGAGGCCACATTAAAGGTGTAAGAGCAAGCTATGCCTGTGAGAATGAAGGATAGGAAGTACTCCCAGGAATCAGCCTGACAACGCAATGACATTTCCAAAGATTTGAAACTCAAAAAACAATCCTACAGAAACTGAAAACTTGGGCATACTATTAGGGATAAGTAAGCATAAGCATTTCACACAGGCATACGAGGAAAAAATCAGGAAGGTCAAGGCATGAAGTGAGATGCAGCTAGCAAGAGACATGAAAAGAAACAAAAGAGCATTATACGAGTATGTTAGAATTAAGGGAAAAATTTGGTCCCTTTGTGCAGTGTTTCTAACCAGTTGATCGCAGTAATTATGAAAGGGTTGTGAGCAATCATGGAAAAATGTGGAAAATCAGGAATTTTCTCCTTTAAAGGAAAAAAACCTGGGAAACTTCAGGTTTCTCCTTGCAGGGGCTGCTTGGGGCTGGGGGGAAGTGGGCGGAGGGCAATTAGGCAGGGGTGCCACCTTCATGTGCATGTGTACACATGCACATGGCAGCCAGGCATCATAAAAAGCATCTCCTGCAACTCCTCACAGGTAAGTCTATGGTATGCGGGCCATGGACAACAAATCGGGGGGGGGGGCACAGGTGACACTGGGGGGGGGGCAGGTGCACCATGGGGCTGCAGTCTGTCTGGACTGGCACAGGCAGGAACCACCAACACAGCCCAGTGGGCAGGACCCAGAGCAGGAGGTCAGAGCAGCGTGGTGTGACTGCATGAAGAGTAATGGATGGCAGGGTCACCACACTGCCCTCACTTCCTCTCACCTCCACCACACCCCTCAGGCCACGGCTCTACTCTGGAGGGAAGGTGAGGTGGCGGGCAGCATGGGCAACCTGAGGGGAGTGGCGGTGGGTAGGCCATGGTGGTGGGGTAGAGTTGTGGCCCAGTGTACAAGTGGCTGGAGGCAGGTTGAGATGAGGGCAGTGCACCCCCCGTCAATTACTCCACATGCTGCTGGCAGCCTGGCTGGCATGGGGGTCCTGGTAGTAGTGGCAAGAGCAACAATGAGTTTCCATGCCCCACTCCCGGTCCTGTCAACTTGGATGGTTTCTGCCCATGCCGGTCTAACCAGGCTGCAGCCCAATGCCCACTGTACCTGCAAACCTCCTTCTGCCCCATTCTCTCACCCTTTGCCCCACATACTGAGGGGTTGGGACCCAAAAGCAGGTTAGGAGTGAGAGGCACCAACAGGGTTAAGAGGGTAGAGGGGCTGTGGGTTGGGACTGAGGGGCACCAGTAGGGCCAGGGAGCTATGAGTCGGGGGCAAGGGGCACCAGCAGTTTGCATTGTGCAAATTGCACAGTGATGAATTACTTGGGAGTAATGGAGGGCCACATGTTGATATTGCTGTTAAAGCTTTCCTGTTGATGTTGATTTCTGTGTTTAAAATTAAGACTGTTGTGTTGCTTTACCTTGTAGTGAGTAATAAGTATTTGGGGGCTAAAATACTTGTGTGTTTTCTACTTAAACTATTTACTGGGTCAGGACTGGCTATCAGTGTTTACATATGGGTCCTGGTACAAAAAAGGTTAAGAACCTCTGCCTTATTGAATGGGGGGAACAATCTACTAAGACATGATGCAACAAAGGCTGAAACATTTAATGTCTTTGGGTGTTTATACACATGCTCTGGGAGTGGGTGGGGGATGTTTTAATAAGAGTGGCTCTGAGAGCCACTCTAATTAAAGCTTCCAGAGCATTTTGTGTATCAGTGTCCCTCTGCTTCAAAATGGTGGTGGGGTGCTTTATCTAAAGCTGTTCAAATGAGCTTTAGATAAAGCACCCCCACTGCCATTTTGAGTTGTGGAGACACTGATACATGAGACACTGGAAGCTGCGGGAGCACAGTATTTACCAGACTTCAGGAGACTCAATTAATCTGGGGCACCAGATAGAGGAGCTCCAAGCTGCAGTCCAGAGACTGTGTGCCATCAGGGATGGTGAGCAGGAGATAGACTCCTACTGCTAGGCTCTTCA